TAATGAGTTCAAATCCCGTCCTCGGATATGCGTGGTTCCCACGTACGGGCCCATGAAAGTTTTTTTCGGGTAAGTTGCTAACTTGGAAACCAGGAAAGCTAGAAAGCTGAAATTTTAAAGGGATGTTTTCAAGTAGTCCTGGTGGCCAGTCTCAATTCTGTTAGCTAGAAGCATTTGGCGGAAAAACTGCGGGGAACTATGCAAAAAACGCATCTTCGCACCGGCAGTCGGTGCGCTGACCATTTATTTACATATGTAACTATTTTTGTACATAGGTGTATATGCAAAAAGCGGTTCCTATAATATATATAAAGGATAGCAAAAGTGCCTGGATTATCTGCGTGGGTATTACATAAGTAATTTTACTGAAATGCTCCCACACACCAGACGCAGCTATGCGTTACTGCCAAAGGCGCAGCCTAGTTAAACCAGAAATAGATTTATGTTGGTTTGTGGAGCGGGTATGTTTCAGCTACTGAGGTTGCTCACTCAATCGGCTCAGTCGTTTGAGGATAATTTCATTGATCGCCCGCTTCCTGTTTCGTATTTACAACTTAAATTGGCGCCACAGCGAGTTGCGGTGGTTTCCAGTGAACTGATTGCACTGCTTGAAGCTGACCAGTTGGAACGTGAGGAGAGAGTAGCGGGGCAGACACCCGACCAGTCAACACAGGTTACTTCACTTTGATTAGCTTTCGATGTTTTGCCGTGGCGCAAGCTGCTTGCTGCCGCCTGAAAATTTAATTTCTTTTAATCTTATGCGCACAATTTACTCCTCAAAAAAGCAGCTTGTTCTTCGAAATTTAAAGCTTTCGGTGTTTTAAATTAGCTGTGATTCCGGCTTAGTCTGCCAGTGAAAATCCTTCTTCCTAAATTACATTCTGTGAATAGCATTTTGCCAACAGCATTTACTCTCTGCAGATACATCGACGATTGCCTCATCCGAGGTAGGCCGTGTTAAAAAGTAAGCTGAAAGTGCTGCATGCTCTGCTCTTCGTTTATCATTAAAATGATTCAAAAGATTTTTGAAATATCGGTTGTTTCACTGACAAAATGGAAGCAACAGCTAGAGCCTGAGCATGAAAGTCACAAGTTGTCAGTTAAGTGCATCCTGTGTTCCACT